TTATATGGTTTCTAATAAAATGATTAAACATTCTAACTGGTTTCCACAACAGAGTATGCTATTTCCACTCAAAACATGAGTAGCTCTAAGGCGAATAATAATAAAAATAAAGATACCAGTAAAGGTTAGAAATTTAACTACAGAAAAATATTACTTTATTTTGTCTCCTTGTTCAACAGGCCAATACAGGTCTGTTTCAAGGGCTTGAACAACATTTATTACAAAGCATCTATTAAGGAAATTCAGGAGCCCAATTTTAATAAATATATATACTGAAGGTATTTGTACACCACAATGTTTACTCTAAATACTACAGACTAGGGGTGCCTGGGTGGCTCAGTCGATAAGCGGCTCAGGTCATGATCCCAGGGTCCTGGGATAGAGCCCAGCCTGCATCAGGCTCCCTGCTCAGGAGGCCTGCTTCTCCCTCTCCCACGACTTGTGTTCCCTCACTCGCATAAATAAAAAAATCTTAAAAAAAAAAAACACACTGTACTTTAAAAATAAATAAATACTATAGACTAGTTAACTACAGCTCAAACACCACAGATTCTTGTAAGTAAAAACAGAAATATATCATCTCCAATTGCATATACTAGTTTTCACGAACTATTTCAAACATTTTTTTAAATTTAAGCAAAATTTCAAAGTAAGGAGAAAGTGAGACTTAGAAGACTATTTGGAAAAACTTTCACATTACCACTCTTTGTAACTTCTATATAAATCTTCCCCAAGCATGAGTGCTCACAGGATTAGAAGTGTCTCATAAATCAAGCCTGAAATCTCTTCATAAGCATACCAAACAATACAACGCCTGAGCAATCAAGAATCTACAAGACAGTTGGAAAACGGTGCCCTCCACAAGTCAAACACCACCATTCTTCCTGGCACCAAGCCCTGTTTTCCTCCAATCTGCCAGAGGCATCCTCCTTAGGAAATTAAATACAACATTTCCCGCATTCTGTATTAATTTTTTAATGCTATTTCTCAAGATAACTGAATTTTATTTTTAAAATGTACAAAAGCCCATCACAAAAATAAATATCGAAATTATAACATTCAAAACCAGAGCTGTTTCTACATAGAAACTGGCTGGGCTCTAAAAAAGAAACGATGTAGCAATGATGTAAGGCTAGAGTGAGTCAAATTTGTTTGAAGTCTAAAAATACCTCTAGTTATAGAATACTCAAGACAAGGAAATTCTTCCACTATATTTTTACTGTGTCCCCAAAGCAAAGATATCCAAATACATGTAACATGTAACATGTAACATGTATTCCAGCTATTTTAACTCAGGAAACCATTGTCGTAAGACATTTAAAATTAGCAAAGCCAAAATACATTTTTAAATGGGCCTCATTCTTCGACAAAATTTTTACATAAGCTACCTTGCTCTACCTCTGCACAATCTTTAACGTCTTCTCTAAAACTGGGGATGGATGGGAAGAACCTGAATATGTGATTTACTTAAAATGGGCAAATAAGATAGAGAATTTGATGTTCTTTAAAGGGCTCTATTCGTTCGATTCTAATTCAGGGAATCGTCTTTGCACACACCTCTCTTACAACTAAAAGACAGCAACCAATTGTTGTGTAACTCCTCCCTTCCCCCTTCAACCCAGCTAACATACAAAGGAAAGGACTTTCTCTATTGTGCAAATTCAGTCCCTGCAACAGATCTTTGTTAACTAAAATCTGATTCAGAAATAGTCCCCATTTAATTTTTTTCAACCGGCATAGTAAAAGCTGTAAAGATAACGAACACAACAAATGCATTCTTATTACAAGAAGGTAAAGCCAAATTTTGAAAATGCTCTGATTACATTTTAAAGATTAGGTCTTTCTTTGGTACGGAAAGAAAAAAGCCAAACCAGCATCCTTCCTTCAATCTATTTTCCACCAAAAACACTGATCAAAATGTAAATAATACAAAAAGATTTGGTTCTGACCCCTCCCCCCAAACACACACAAAAGCGCCCTCTAAGCTGCCCTCTAAACTGCCCTCTAAGCTGCCCTGCTCCCAAAACGGTCTGGTTTAATCTTAAAAAAAACAAACAAAAAAACAAACAAACAAAAAAACCAAACACAAAAGCCTAATCATGTTACAAGAATAATCATTTTGAAAATGTTTTATGTAATGTATTCCCAATATACACCTCTTAATCCTGTAAAACAGTTATTAATGTTGTAATTAGCTAGAGAAAAGGGTAAAAGCTGGTAAAACGTATTAGAGGGTTTCTCTCATTTTGATTTCTAGAAAACACTAGAAGTGAATATCTACATTTTCTTGCAGAGCTATCAGTCTGGTACAACTACCTTTTGATCCCTTTCCCTTAAATTACTCAAATTTCATTTTCCTCCCCGTAGCAATCACACATTTTACAAAACATTTTCTACAACAGGGATAAAAGGCTTTGAATTCCTCCAAACAGGGCCCATTTAGCTCCACAGCTGGAAAAGCGAAAACATTTCTTATACATATTTAAGAGTAAGCAAGAAACCATAAATAGAGATTACCTGTCCCAGGGATCGGGTGGGAAATGGGGGATGGGAACTGGGAATCCCGAGGTCAGAGGTGAAGGGGAGATTTTTATCTGTAAACCCTTTACACTCCTTAAACCCGTAAGAATGCACTGCCTTTTCAAAGGGCTAAGGACGCCTGTTTAAAATTTTTTAAAAATCAAAGGAAAGGAGTTTCATGGCCACGCGGTCTGCTTAGTTTTAAGATAATCTGCTTTAATCAGTAGCATCTGCTTGTGCTCTGCAATAGGTGAAATACCCCTTTAAACGCAGCCGTGAGCAATGTGCCCGCTAAGCCCTCTTTAATACAGTAACGTTCCTCCAGACCTCCGCTTTCGAAGGCAGCTCGCATCCTCCGCCCCCTCCTCCCTCTGTGCATTCTGAGATCTGCTCTGCTGATTCCCACATAAAGTGGGTCCTGGCCGCCATTTTAGAAAGTCATTCACACAAGCGGGACGGCAGCATCATCCACTTAAAAACCTCCCAAACTCCCTTGGACGATCTCCTCTTTCCTTTCCCTCACCCCTCATCTTGAGAGGAGTCAAACTCCCTTCAATAGGCATGCAATGTCTCTGGAATGTGCATAATGCGAAATGACACGTCTGGCCACAGAACACTGAGGAGAAAAGCGAATGCTGCAATGCACGTGTTTGCACGTCGGTACCGACGAATTTCCCAGGCAGAGACCTACAGAGAAAGTCCACAAGGAGTTAAAAGTGAGCACACTTAAGTGGCTTTTCCACTCCAATAATCTGCACCTAAGTGACTTTCCCACCAAAGCACTGAAGATACTGGGGCTGTGGGTGGAGGTAAAGGGTGGAGCAGCGCCAGGGAGGGAAAGTTCCCATCCGCTTCCCATCTGAGCCCAGGGTCTCGCTCTCCTTTATCACCGGGGATAGAGGCGAGTTTTTGCTCCCTGCCTGCCCTAGACCGGTTTCTCAGCACAACGTAGTAAACACCGGGAGAGTCCCTGGAAGCGCGCCTCCCCCAGCCCTGCCGAGGACAGCTTTAGCAGGTTATGAATGGCCTCACTATTGCCGGCTCCTTTTCACACGCGGACACGCGCAGACGCGCGCTCCAGCAGTGAAGATTTAATACCCCAGTAACAGCAACCACCAACAGAATCAATGATCCTCCATTTAAAAGAGTGGAGCTCTGCTGCCTCTGCTTCCATTTCCCTATCCAAGCTGCTCAGGAGCAAGCGACGCAATCTATTTTTCCCATGGTGACTCACTAATAAGGGCGCTCCATAATTTCCTTCACTCACTAGATAGTAAGAGGAATTAGGAGTAAACCAAACTTAAAATCTTTCAGGGTCTTGAATATCGAAAGAAACAGTAATTTTCGAGGACGATCACAGATTTGCTACAGTCCTTCACAATTTGCACCCATCTTCAGCAAATCGTCACTTTCAGTATTTTATACCGAGGACCCTATCCGTTACGGCACACATACGTTCCACAAAGAAAGCAAGCGCTTAAACGCTACTGTATAAGATGTATCAAAAACAACAGTGATCCCCACATTTCACTGACAAAAAATATTCTGGGAAGTTTTAAAAAGCTATTATCTCCTGATCTTAAAAGATTTGCATTCTTCTAACGACCGATTAAAGAACTCTGGGCGGGAGGGAATCACCGTTCTTTCAAAGGCGGCCCCTCAGTGCAAAGCCGGCGCGGCCGCGGAGGTAGAGATCCCGAGGCTCTCGGGCTCCGACGCCAACTGGGCACCGTCCTACCTGCGGTGGGTCTTCCACTGAAAGCCCTCGGTCCTCACCACCCTCCTCACCCAAGGACCCCAGAGGGCTGAAGGCGGCCAGGAAGACGAAAGAACCGAAACAGGCGCACCAACTTATTTACAGACACTATACTCGCTAGTCAACCCCGAAAAAAAATAGTAATTTAAAGAGAGAAAATATGAGCTTGCCATTTCCCTGTAGTTTCTAGGTCTGTAAGCCGTTCGTGAGAGGTGCCTAGAACCTCGTAGTTGTCTCCCCAGTTCGGAGCTGCTCCTACACCACCTACCGAGACTTGTGTCTGGGCAAAACCTCTCCTGTCGCACAAACCCCTCCCCCGGTTAGACATTTCCAAAGCGTCGGCAGGGCGAGGAGCGGGGAGTTGCGGCGGGACTCCGGAGTTGGCCGCGCCGGGATGGGGGTCCGGGGCAGCGGCGCGCAAGGATGCGACCCCACTCCTGCCTGGCCGGCTTGCGGACACCCTCCCAGCGCCGGCTCCGCGGAGGCCGGGGGACAACCTCCTCCTCGCTGGGGCGGGAGAGGGCGGCAGCTGGGGCCGCTCCGCCGAGGCCCAACGCCGCGACGCGGGCCGAGAGGCGGCCAGACAGCCGCGCGCCCCCCGCACCCGTCCGTGGGTCTGGCCCGGGTCCCTCAGCAGTTCCGCGCACGGGGAGGGGCCGGCAACGGGCCGGGCGGGCAGCAGCGCCCGAGGAGAGAGCGCGGCCCCGGGCCGCGTGTCACTCACCGTTTGAAATGCTCGATGATCTTCTCTTCCCGCACATTCTCCGGTAAGTTGCCCACCCAGAGGTGCCTGGTTTCCCGGACCATGCTGGGCGGTGTGCCGGCGACCGCTGGTGCGGGTTCTCCCTCGCCGGCTTCGTACGAGCCCGTCAGCGCCGGGAGGCGGGCGCCGAAGCGGCGGCGGCGGCGGCTGCGGCGGTGGCGTCGGCAGCGGCGGCGGCTCCTCCGGCTCCCCCCCGTGCAGAGACCATCCCTCTCCCCCAGGTTCTGACTCTCGGGCCTCGCAGCTCCGCTCTGCCGCCACCACACACCCGAAGCCGACCCTCGCGCTCCGGCGGCGCATGCGCCCGGGCGGCGGCGGGCGGGGGAGCGGGGAGGAGGAGCGAGCGGGACCCGGGCGGCAGGGACTACGACGGAGCTGGCGCTGTGGCAGCCGGACGCTTCCCACCGGCGCGCGCGCCCCGCCTCCCTCGCCGCGGGCACGCGCGCGTCCGCCCGCCCGCCGAGGCCGAGACGCCGAGTTCCTCCCAGCCGGCGCGCAGGCGCGCGGGGGAGGGAGGAACGCGGGGCCTGAAAGGAACGCTCGCGCGCCCGATCCTGATGCGCAGGCGCGCAGTCGCGCAGGGAGCCGGCCGCGGGGTGGGCGCTTAGTCAGACCTGGGGCGCTGAGCTTGCAGAGACGGGGACGATCTCCCGCCCCTCAAACAGGAGTCCCAGGCGCCGGCCTGGAGGAAGAAAAGAGAGAAAGGGAGTTGATTTTGATAAGGCTGCGTGCCAAAGCGGCTGCCAGTGCCTCTCCTAGGACTCCTGCCCCTACTCACCCTTCGACCAGGAGCTGGCCGTTTCCGGGCACTTGGATCCCCGCCTGCTTGGGAAAGTGTCAGAACAAGGCCGCCCTTCTCACTGACCAGCGAAGCAATGACGGGTTCAGAAACCCATCCCTCTCAAGAATAATTAGCTCGTAACGTTAAGCAACTATTTTATATAGGATCTTACGAAACTGCAAGATATCCTAGCTGATCGTTACGGTATACCAGGAATAGAACTGAAATGAGACGGTTACATGTCCAATATTGTAAAAAGGATTTATATAAAGGATTTACTGTAATTTAATATTTAAGCATAGGAACGGATCAGACCTCTGGCCTTTCCAGGCCTAAAGACCACAGCTGAACTTTTATATAAAGGCCAGTTTATAGAACCCCGGAGAAAACCCACAAAATTAAGACAAACTATTGAGTCCAGAAAAACGGAATCGTTTAGAACAGTCAGCAACTCAATTTTCTTTTCCATTTTTTATCTACAGAAATAAAATATCATAGGTGCGGTACTTCAAGTACACACCAGATTTTAAATATTGGGTCTCATTCACTGCCTCCTTAAATACAGCCAATTTATCACCAAACTATGCTATTTTGGATTGGAAAATATGGTCACCATAATCAATGGCACTAATACCTGGAGTCACCTGTGCATAGTTTCTTTTGTTCCACAGACAGTAATGCTCCCAGTAGTTTTTTTGTTGTTTACCATATAATCTAACCTAAGCTTCTTAATGATTGTGTCCGACTGAGAGTCACATCAACTTTTTTTGTATTTGGCCTAATAGTACATACTATAGGGGTGCCTGGGTGGCTCAGTCGGCCCCGCATCTGGCTCCCTATTCAGTGGGGAGCCTGCTTCTCCCTCTCCCTCTGTCCCCTGGCTCATGCTCTATCCCATAAATAAAATCTTAAAAAGAAAAATAGTCCAGGGATGCCTGGGTGGCTCAGTCAGTCAAGCATTTGCCTTCGGCTGAGGTCATGATCCCAGGGCCCTGGGATGGAGTCCCGCATCCAGCTCCTTGCTCAACAGGGAGCCTGCTTCTCCCTCTGCTGCTCCTCCTGCTTGTGCTCTCTCTCACTATGTCAAATAAATAAATAAATAAAATCTTAAAAAAAATAGTCCATACTATACTTAATAAATTTGATCATTTGAGATAATCTGTCTTCCCTCCTCAGGACATTGAGGAGGCTAAGCAAGCCCCGGCCCTACACAGTTGCAACAATTACAGTACAGATGCGCTTGCTAAGGGGTTAACCTCACCCTCCATTTGAAATGATTTTTGGAATTCTGACAAATTATTTCTAAAACTTCTAGATTCTGAGCCAGGTAATTTAGCTGATTTGTTTAACTTCAGTAAGAGTCAGAAACAGAAATAGGAGGTAGAGAAAGGCTAGAAACAAAAAAGCCCCACTACAATAGTGGCACTCATTGATAATTTAGGTATTTAGTGCCCCCCCAAAGGCTGACCTTGTCTTCATGCAAATCAGTCATTAAATGAAATGGAAATTTGTGTTCTTGAAAATATTATGGAATGGATTCCTCAGTAAAAGCAAATCAAACCACATTCAGATGAAGGATTAGCCATTTACATTTGGCCATTTCTTTTTCACAACTATCACTTAAGGAGTGTCAAGCCAGCACACTATTAACCTAAACTCATGAACTATATAGTTCTGCATATACGGCTGCAGTTAACGTTGAACTGACATGCATTTTTCCATGAAGCATGAATTTCAATACAAGCAACCACAATTTGAAACACATTTTAAAATAGGATGTAAATTACCCATTTAAAACTTGATAGGCTCGGAATTAGCTGAAACCTCTTGGGAAAGACCAAAGTGTCACCATGAAGAACAGAAGAGATTCAGTTCAACTGCATTATTAAGAGGAGGAACTGACAAGACGATTCACAAAATAACGTCTTGCAATTATAGAAGTAAAGGGCATATCTCACCTTGCATGCAGACTTCAGTTAAAATCATGCTGAGGAAAAATTCAAGGGCTGGAAAAAAAAAAAAGGAGGGGGGAGCCTTTTAGAAGCAAAGTCATTAGAAGAAAGACTAATTATTGAATATGGTATTTTGTATCCATGTAGGACTCCCACAGAATAAAAGGATAAACCAGAACAAAATAAGAAGCAATTGGGGCGCCTGGGTGGCTCAGTTGTTAAGCGTCTGCCTTTGGCTCAGGTCATGATCCCAGGGTCCTGGGATCGAGCCCCACATCGGGCTCTCTGTTCAGCGGAAAGCCTGCTTCTCCCTCTCCCACTCCCCCTGCTTGTGTTCCCTCTCTTGCTGTGTCTCTCTCTGTCAAATAAATGAATAAAATGTTTAAAAAAAAACAAAATAAGAAGCAATTAAGATTTTTTTCTAATACTTTCTCCATGGCACAAGAATGAGGGGACATTAAGTAAAAGTTAAAGCAACATGCTTACCAACTAAAATTTTTTTGAACTAGTTCTCTTAGGTTAGCCTAAAGGTCTTGTTATATCAGTGCTGTTTTTCCATGCAAAAAGCAGAATAGATACTTAATTTTTGGAAATTAATTTGAAACAGGCAAAGTTATTTACAAATACTTTACAAATGCCTTCAAGTCCCCCACCTTTGGGAAGTAGTGGAGGAGAAACCTGGTGGAAGATTACCAACACACAAAAGCATTAGGCAAAGTTGAGTTAAAGTTCTCCCAAAGACCAAAGAGATCACAATGTCAAAAAGATTAGGAGCAAATGTCAAATTAAGAATATCATTTCTCATCTTGCCAGAGATTTACCAAACAACTGAGAAACAGTCTAACAATATAAAGGCTAGCAAAATCCCATCAAACATCATTTGATAGCACCTTATACTCAGATTCTCTTCAAGTGTTGTCAAGCTGCCTGTTTGACACCAAAAATAGCAACCAAAGTGTTCATTTTAGTTTCTTAGGTTTTTAAAAACTTAATGAGTAAAACAAATTTAATGAGTAAATAGACTTAATGAGTAAAACAAATTTCAATTATCTGTTCAAATTTTTAATGTATTCCTATGATTCCAAAAGAAAAAAATATGACACTAACTTCAATTGAACAGATTCGTTTAAAGGAAAAATAGCTCACATATAGATGCTGGGTTCAAATGAGCAATTCAGGTAGGTATCCTATCCATCTTTATTAAACTTAATAGTTGCAGGTTAAAAGTACTGTCCATGTTCCTTACTGATTCTTTCAGCATTAAAAAACACTACTTGGCATGAACTTTTGTGTTATACTAAAAAACAAACAAACAAACAAAACCCCTGATGATATGAACAACAGACATTATGTATAATGGAAGTATCCCTGGGTTACTGGGTTTTGAGTTTAAAATTCCAGTTCCAATTTTGTCACTGGCTATATGACTTAGCAAATCAATTAAATCCTCAAAGTCTCAATATCCTTATCTACAAAATGAAATATCTGTTTTCTCTACCATAAAAGGTTTCTAGAAGTATCAAAGAAGATAATATATGTAAAAGGATTTGGAAGTAACACACCATAAAAATATCACGAATACTATTAAGTTGACCACTAATTTCATATTAATATCAAAAGCATCAGCTGAAATTTAGAACATATCATTATCAATTTTCAGGGTTATACAGCCTACATAGGTCCTATAGTCAAATCAAAATGCAGCGATTGCATATTAAGTATGCAGTTCCTTGTCTGTTTTTGCTTTTTCTATTGCAAAGCTCTTAATAACAGCAAAACTGATAAGTACATGCCTTTGCACAGCCCCAAATCAAGTGTTTGATTTTTTCAATGCCTTTCATTTTTATTGGCAATGTATCAGAAAACACTGGGAAAGCTTTTCTCTATTTCTGTCTTTGGTACAAATAATTACGAAGGCAGAATTTCTTCATCAGCATTTATCTTTGTATGTTTTCAATAGCAAGGAAACCCACACTGTTATTCTGATTTTTAAATTTATTTTAACAATTCATAATTGATGCTCATTGAAAAAGATCAAAAGTAGGGTGTGATCTCTCCTTTCTTCTATAATAAATGGATGGTAAAGTGAATTTCCTCATTTGAGTATTAATGATAATTCAGAAAGGTAACATTAAAAGCAGAGCCATTTGCAAAGGGAATTAAAATAGATGTGTTTTTAATCAGGTCTTATTTTCACACTGTGAGGACCTCCTGTATTTAGCATGCTAGACATGCTCAAAGAGTTCAGTCATGCGTAATGGAAGCCCAGTTGGGGAAAGCATTTGAGCCTCAAACTCGGGCTTTGAATGCT